ATTATTCCAAAACTGCGACATGGTCTTTCATCAGGACTCATCTGGTGGAAAAGGAGTGGGGAAGGTGAGGCCCCAGGAGGGGTGAGTCTGTTGAAAGACACAACCTGGAGGCCTTCACCTTGCATCCCATATCAGGATTTTTTGAGTCATACGCCCAAATTTGGCATCTTTGCAAAGTGATGAAACTGCACTTAATAAAAAAAAGACACCTCAAGCAATATAATGTGATAGCCCAAAATATTTTTTCTTGCTGCTTCCGTAGGTTATCAGAACAGAGGGAGTCCAATTTTTTACTATTACGCTCTCATTCTTCAATGAAGTCACACTCCACATAACTTTCTTACTCTTACTCTCCAGATTTTTTTTTTTTTTTTTTTTTCCACGGGGCTGTTAAACACAATGGAAAGCGCACGATCACCCCAGCTGTCTCCCATTACTGGCTCTGACCAAAATTATTTACACGCCTGCTTACTGGAACTATGGAGAGAGTGAGAGCGAGAGAGGGGAAGAGAGAGGGTTGGGGGCGGGATTTGGTTGACTCCTTCAGATTTACGTAAGCATCCTCTTAACAAGAAGCTGATAAGAAATGACAGACATAGAAGATCTTGTGTCTGTAGAAACTTGTCTGCTGCACTTCACTTAGGCACTCTTCCATGTGTTGGTGAGAGTCTGCTTTCAAAAAAGCTAGTATATGAGTTAGTAAATCAAACTAAATACTCCACCAATCACTTTACACACTTTACACTGTTAATTAAACTGGGTAATACTGCGGTTCCCTTCATTCATAAGTAAAAGCTATAAACACACAGGGCCGCAATGACTGCCTCCTACTTGACAGCACTGTTAAGATAAAGGCTTCACCATGGGGGAGAGCAGATCTGTAATTAGACAGACTCAGGACACCCGTTGCTATGTAAACATCCCAACCACTCAGCGTAGCAGCACACTGCCTCTGCGCTGCGCTGCTCCGGCTCCTCGCATGAATCACTGGGCCACATCTGGTTTAGCATGCTGGAAGGGACTTTGTCGGTTTGGCACGCCGTGCGTGTGTGGAGTGTGTCGATTTGGACCAGACGACCCACGGCTGCGCTTACTTCTCTCCTCCCCCTGGCTACCCCACCTCTCAGATTACAGCGGTTGCACAATGCTCTCTGGCAGTCCTGACTCTTGCTGGACCTAAGAAAGCACCGTGGATACACAGACAAACCTTTTGCTCAACTGTGGAGAGAAAGAAAAGTTACAACCACTTTTGGCACCGCAGTGACTCGCATCTGCCAGGAGTATAGAAAAATGCAGACTGAAAGAAGTTGTTTACTCGAATGTAAAGCTGAAAGCGAACATATGCACTCTGAATATGAGCACGGCTCCAAATTCTCTCTCGTTTTGTTTAACAGTATACAATGAATCGCTGGAGACAAATTCGCACTAGTAGCTTGGTCATCCATCAAGCCACCTCATAAGTAAAATCAGGATAGACAATAAGAGAGAAAGTGCTTTTGCACTCAATAACGCTGGTGTGTTTTTCAGTTAGCCAACACCCCGGCCTTGTGCCTCCAGTGTAACCAGCATCCTGCCGGAGCTGTTTTTGGCAACTGTCTCAAATTAATATCTGGCGTGGCTCCTGAAAGACTTTATTTCACTGTAAAATCCACAGTCAGCCCCAATGTCCCTAATATATCCTTCACAAAGTTACCATTATGGCATGCTTAGGAGACGCAACCGCAAAATGGCAGCGATCATATTGAGGGAGAAAAAAAAAACAACAACTTATAAACAGCAGAGTGAAGCAGCAGAGCACAGAATTGAAATATGGACATCAAGGTGCTCTCAGTCTGACTTTTAAGAGTTATGGGAGGCTCAGAACCTGGATTGCATTACGCTGAAAGAAGACTCATTGCAGACTAATCTAAACATTACGTAAGAGCACTCCTGACAAGTTTAAGGGCAGATGTGACTGTTTACACAGATGCTGTGCGATAGTAGGAACAGACAGTAAAAGAGAGAGAGGTGAAAGAAAGAGGCTGATGTGGTGTGGAGTGTCCGTGATGTGGTTTGGAGTAAAGAAAAACTGGTAAGCTTCTCAGTGGCAGTTTTAAAAAATATTTGGCAGAAAGCAAAAAGGATAATGTTCTGAATGTGCTATTTGGCATACATTTTCCCTTAAATGATAGAAAACACCCCCCCCCCCAAAAAACAAATCATTTGCCAGTAAATCAGTGAATACAGTCACTGACAATACTCTTTGGAGGAAAGGGCATTTGGTTGTCAAACTGTAAATATCTGTCCCTTGTGACTTAGTATAACAATGCATCTTGCCGTGTGAGGAGGAATTTAGAGGAAAACTTCGTATGGGACTTCATTGTGTTGGAGATCCTGGCATTGTGGCAGAAATTATGTTTGCTCTGCCCACAACACATATTCACTAACTTGCTATTGTCTGAGTAAGAGTCAGCTCTCTGGAGTGCGGTTCAAGCCCCCAGAGAATAAGAGAAGAACTTTTACAATAATTACCTATGGCGGCAATCAGACTGAAACTATGAAAAATGCGAACCACACATTATTCCTGTGCTGCCACAGAAAAACAAAACGGGATACTGCAGTCTAAATCTGGAGTGAGTTCAAGTCAAGAGCCGTACATTGTGAAACTGCTTTCTGTAAACAGGACATCTTACATTCTAAAAAAGAGACCAAACGGAATGAACACTTGAATCTGAATATGGTTTGTGCTCCTTTCAAGTCAGTGTGACAGGTTTGTCCTCAAACTGTAGGGCTAAGTGTCAGGATGGGGTCAGTACACTTTGGGATTTGTTCAATTTACCAAACAAAGAAACCCACAGTTGAACTTTGCAGCCAGTGTAGATGTAAAAGCAACGAAAGTTCCTCTAATTACCTCTCATGGCCAACTCCACAACTACTTGAAACTCCACCCACTTCTAGTCAACACAGATGTGGCCACAATTGCCGACTACTCACCCGAAACAGAACATCAACAATTCTCCCAACAACTTTCAAGGGACTGGCATGAAATTTGGTACAGATAATACTGGACCAGAGGTTTTTAGTTTAACGCTATTAGGATTATTTTATTCCCTTGAATTTCTACGCATATGCAGTTTTCTTGTATCCTATTTGGATATTGAGGAAAAAAAGTGGTGCAAATATTCATGGCACTTTATCTTCATTAATAAAGATAAATCGTGATGGATCTGGGTCTGCAAATAGGTTGACATTGTTAGGGTTTTAGCGAAATTCCAAGAAACTCATTCTAGTATTTCTCTACATTTTACAAACTAATTGGCACAAAATCTGCTAAAGACATTCATGCTCCCCAGAGGAAGATCCATGCTGGATTAGATTTTTTTTTTTAATTTGGTCTATAAAATCTTTAAAATATTTTGGTTTTCAGTGTGATGCTTTAAAAAGTTACTGGCTACCAGTTGCTAAATTGCCATTCCAATTTCTCCACACCTGTGAAACTGACAAGTTTTTATGCTTCCAAGGGGATTTATTCTGATGTCTTCATAGATCCATGCATCCATCCTTTGCCATCCAGGTCTGGTCCAGACAGCAGTCTAAAAAAAGGTTCCTACACCACTCTCCAGCTCTTCTGGAGAAACACTGAGTCATTACCAAGAGATAACATCTCTACAGAGATTTAATCTCTCCAGCATGCCCTTGCTCTTCCCTGGGACTCCTCCCAGTTGGCCATGATCAGAACACCACATCTAGGAATTGTCCAGGAGACATCACCACCAGCAGATGCTTTTTTAGGTGAGAATAAAATCATCACAGGCATTCTTGCCCCCTCATGATATACTCTATATATTTTGCTGATCCTCCTTGAGTATTCATCCATCAATATTCATATGAGACTTTGCTCTGTCTTTAAACAACATGCAGAATGTACAGTTTGTTTGTTTTTTGTTTTTTTAAAAAGCAGCAAAAATGCTAAGAGAAGAAGATAAATGTAACCTTTTAATATCAGACTATTATAATTGTCATTGTGTGCATGTTAGCATGATAATGCCTTTTTTTCCTTTGTACTGCTCAAGTCTCAAAGAGCTGATATGATGCAGAGACTTGACTCTCTGTGTGGCAGAACTGTCTTAGGAAGTCTAAAGGCCGCAGTATACCCACGTTTCAGAGAAACTTGTATTTATACCCATGGTTACGGCACAGGAAGCTGCTGCAGTATTCTCCGAACAATAGGTGTCACCACTCAGATAATATCACCACATAAGGGCTGATATAGGGGGAGAAGAAGTTAAAATGAGAAGCCAAGACTTTGTCGAGTGTTTTTTGCGAAGTTTTTCGACAACCTCTCGAGTTTTCAAAAACTGTCAACCTGTAGCACATACAACCACCTGTGTAGCAGTTTACTTATCTATTTTCTCTCTCTTTGGTTTGTCTGCATCACTGCTGTGAATTACGGAGTACTTGGCAGAATCTGAGTCTCATTCCACCCAATCTGACAGATACACGTAGGCCTGCTGAGTGTTTTGTATTCTCAGATCGAACTTGTCAGCACTTTCTTTAGTATAAATCCCCCTTACTCATGACTCTGACAAGCACTGTCTAGAAAGGCATGCTGGGAGAAGGGTGGAAAATCCCATAGCATAGGCAACATTTTGACACCACAATGTTTCAACACCATAACACAATAAGGATTTTTGCAAAGTTTGTATGATTACAACAATTCTGAAGCAGAGCCAAACATCCAGAATAATTAATAAGTTCCATCTTCCAAAACCATACTGGAGTTGTTAACGCCGAGCTAAATTATGCACTTTCAAGTAACAAGTAAATTATCAGGGTTTATTTTTGATTATTCATCTCCTCTAACGCTATAAACTAAAATCATGGTTCACAAACTGAAGTATGAAGCAAACTTCGGTTCAGGAGATGTTTTTGCTCTTCAAACAAACAAACACACATATATCTGATAACACCTAGTCTCACACGAAAAGCATAGGAAGTGGCTTGAAATGAAATAAACATACCTGCAGATGCCAGGCAACATATTGCAAGAAGCATCAAGGGAATATGGGACCTTGTAGCCATTTTATTATTCTGCAGATTCCAGTATGATAAAAGTGGATGAACTGGCCGTTCTTCAGCGTCTCACAAAGGTTTCCCTTCTTGAGAATGGGTCTGCAGAAAGCCACGTTCAGGCTCCAGCTGCAAGTGAACAAAAATAAAAGATGTCAACCAGAAGAAGCAGGTTCAATTAAAGCATTTACAAACAGCAGGGAACTGGGCTCTGCTTAATATACAGCGTGGGAGTGATGAGATGAGACAAGAAGAGAGGCACTTAGGAGACCAGGGGATTAATCTGGGAGGGTTAATTGGAGGTTATGCATGCTTCAAAGGACCAGGCTGCACACACCTTCCAAGCCTGTTAGAGTGTGCAAGTAGTTTGGGATGGATGACTGACTTGCTGGGTGTTAACAGTCCAGAACATGCCACAGGTTATTAACACACTTTAATTTAAAGACTCAGGAAACTCTAGTGGGGTCTTGAGTAAGCAGCTTAGTACCACCGCACTAATTACCATGACCCTGACTGAAGCTTTAACTTAATCTAAGTGTAAACAGTGACGGCTATGACAAGGGGAAAAATGAAATTCATGTACATTTATAAACAAAGAATATCCAGAATTTTACAGAGTTTCTCTCAGAAAGTGGCAGAAGGAAAAATCCTAATTGTCTTGCATAGAAAGGAAAAGGGTGTAAAGTTTAATTATGAAAGTGATTTTTGTACAGTGAAAAATTTAATTGTTTTATTCTAGTTGATAAAACTGGAAAAAAAATTCTGCCACTATAACCACATTCCCCTTCCTTCCGTGGCAAAGGTGGTGGGGTATGTAAGCAGTGCCAATGACTCAAGAGTGGCGGAAAAAACAAGAAACCAAAACTGATTTCTAGTCTGAATCAATCAAAAAGGTCACCTGTCTAGGTTTCACTTTTCAGTTTAAACAAACCGAACAACGCAAACGCATTTCCCAAGTGTTGAGTGTTGCAAAGCTACAGATGGTTAACATGCAAGTGGATAGATAAGCTTATGAAAGAAAAGGGTAAAAGTAACATCCACTGGCCATATAAGGCTGTCAAAAAGGACTAAGTAGCGTGCAATGTCAGTGTGACTGCTGGCAAAACCACCCCACAGATGTCAGCTACTACCTTTGGGAAAAACCCGTTATAAGACGCTTGCAGCTTAGATGCTTTTTGACAAATATATTTAAACACATCATGAAATGTAGAATCATTATATTTTGTAAATTCTTTTGCAATAATTAAGAATTAATTTTCATTTAGCAGATTTAGCAGTATAATTGTAATTATACTTGGTCCTTTTTCTTTTTACAGAAAAAAATGAATGAGGCAGGAATGATTGAGTCAGGAGTTAGGCTCAGACGAGCAGGTGCTTTTGACCATGAAGTCCATCTTGCAAAAACAACTGTGTGATATCTGCAGCCGCAGACACGGCTATTACAAGTATATTTTAATGCATTTTTATCAAGGTTATAAATTCCAGTATCAGCAGCAGAAAGATGCCTTCAAAACAGTGCATTATAAGAGTCAGACCAGAGAAGCACAGAACAACTTCAGAGCAGCAAAGCAGATAAGGAACACATGGCCATGCTGTTCTTACATTCTGACAAGTATTAATAAAAACAGTACACTGGAACCTAATATATCCAAATGAAAGCAAGCTTTTCCATTTCCAATAATCCAGCTCGTTGTTTTTCAAAGGCTAAATCAAGATTAAAACGTGGACTTTTGAAAGATTTACCATGTTCCGAAGAATCCTTTTAGCTCTTTCTAATTCTCAGTTATTATGTGGGTATGTTCTGTAGATGCAATCAAAACATGTCTCTAGAAAGATATGGTCCGCAGAAAAAGTTGTGCAAATTTCTTCTCTGATTGATGTCTGACTCTTTGTGGCAAGAAAAGTGAAACTGTTGTCATGTTAGAAGTCTTGTAACAAGAACTGCAGGTGCTCACACTTTAAAGGCACTGTCTCTAACTAGTATAGAGCTGTGTGGAAGAAACACATGTGCATCTATATAACCTGTGGTGAGCTATACAGTGTATATAGGAAGTGATGCACAAAGTACTGAGGTGCATCACTCTGCAGTGCAAGCAGCTTGCACAGGACAAAAGGGCCTTTCACTGTGTGGCAGCTGCAAGGGCTGGGAAGTCATTTTGGAACATCATGACAAATATTACACTTTCAGCTTGTCAGTGAGAACCAGAGCGCTCTGTTTGATTTATGCCGCTCCTTGACCTTCATCTCTTCACTGACTAAACAAAGCTAAACTGTGTTGCAGTACCTTTTGGGAAGCAAAGACCAAATCAAAGGAGACTTTCTTTACGTAAAACAGTGTGTAGCTCTTTTGATGTATCTATGGTTGGAATCACATTTGCACTGGGTTACAATACTAAGAAAGCTGGTGGTAAAACAGCTTCTAAAAACCTATGTGCAAAAGATTTAGTCATAGCCTTTTAAAGTTGTTTTGGGTTGGAGAAGGTTTTAACTCTATGCTATGGTGATGGTTTTGCTGCAGCAACAACTCAAATCACCTCATGTGACTTCTTCTCAACCCTGACTGTCTAAGCCGAGCAAAGTATTTCCCTCAAAGAGAATCTGGAAAGTACATTATAGCATGCAGACCCCAGGCTGAACGTACTGAACATCAGTGAAACCAAGCTGAATACTTGTGGTCAGTTAAGTGTTAAAGGCCTGGCTTATATCTGTGTCATCACGTATGCATACGCTGCAGTTAAGCGATGTCAAGACCCAAGGGCATTTACAGGGTTCTTGTAATCGCAAAGCCATGCGCGAAGAGAGCAATAACACAAAGGCTGAGGTCTGTGTTATATAGTGCATCTTGTGGTGTATGAGTAAGATAGTCAGGATTAATACTCATAAGTCATTTTGAAAATCATGTGGTCATATGAGCTTCTGAAAGAACTATAGTGAGCTCTTCTGCACTTTCAGTGTCTATGGACTGTCACGAGACTGCAATTTCAAAGTCGATACCGATACCCCTCAAAAATTGAAGATTGTCTTAAGGTTGTGCAAAACTGTCTGCGATAGCTTGTACTGTGTTTTTGGTGACATCAAGCTATATTTTTGTTGCTAATCAAATAGAGCTGGTAAAGTAAGCCACAACTGCTTCTGTATAGCAGCTGGCAGACTTTTCTCAGTTTTGATCTGAGACTGTTCCCCTGTTAATGTATTAATGTTACAGATAAAATGTCACAATGTCTCATTTTCCCCTTAGACAGTATCAGGGTTTATCCTGCATTGAAATGGACCTTTGGTGGGTGCCATGTAAACACAATCGGTTGGCACAAAGTAAAAGCAATAACTCTGTTTTACTATAATTAATGAATTTTCAGCCACTTGATTAACAAAAACTTCAACAGACTTGAATATTCTATCAACAAAACATTTTAAAAACGTCTTTTTATGACAGCACTGGCGATCTTATCTCCAGACTGGTCGTAAAACTTAAAAGATGGCTTACAAAATGTTCCATCTATTTATGTAAACATCCATCCATTTTTCCATTTTATTTTCATTAATCCTTATCCAATGTAGCACAGAAGGGGGCTGGAGTCTATGCCAGCCGACACTGAGAGGGAGGGATTGCCAGTCCATCACAGGGTGATAAACAAGCACAGAGAAAGATAAACAAACAATCACACTTATGGACAATTTAGAATCATCAGCCTAAAATAAAAGGCATGTCTGTGAACTGTGAGAAGGAGTCGGAGAGGCCGGAGAGAACCCATGTAAACAGGAGAACATGCAAACTCCTTGCAGACAGGCCCCAGCTAGCCAGAGGGTTCGAACCAGAAACCCTCTTTGTGTGAGGCTAACCGCTTCACCACTGTGCTGTCCAGATAAAATGCAAATAAAATACCTCATGATTTTGGAGTTTTAACAAATTCATCTATAATAAAAATATATATATGTGGTTGCAGTAATATCCCTGAACTCACCATCTGGATGTGTGAAGCTAAAGCAAGCTAAAAGAATAGAGAAAATATCCTAAGCATGAGCAACCATAACATACAAGTACACCGTGACTGCCACAGTAGTCCTGTCCATTTTAATCCAGTGTAAAGACACGAGTTGACACTCTTAAGTTTTTCTCTAAACTTCTTGCACTGTCAGTCACGTTTGTGCCCACAGAAGCGCGCGGGTGAGAAGAGAAAGCACACCCGTGCGCGCGCGCACACAGTATCGTGCTGTTGTCACTCTGAAGGGAATACTTCACTCAATGTTTACCTGTGCTTTTCTTTAAAGCAGCTTTCTTATGAAACACAACCAAACCAGCAACAAAGAGAATTTAAGCAAGAGCTCTGTGCTGTTAGCCCGTAGCTAACAATCAACAACAGCGGGAGAAAGCAGGAGAGCATGTCAGCGGAATCATGACAGATGTTCTGCTGGAGTTTTGAGCGGCTAAGTACACTGTAACTGTAAACAGCATTTTCAAGGGATTCGCACCCACAGTGCTGCCTGACATTCTTTACATAAACCTTATCTTCTGGACAAAAGCTAAGCGTTATCTAGTCAAAGAATTAGGTCTTGAAAACAAGCGGACATACCATGCAATCTTCAGAAAATGCCCAAGTAAACTTGGTTGAAGTTGAGGTCGCAGCGCTGGATGCGGATATCAAAGTCGTTATTTCGGCTGCACATTCACGCAGTTATTTTTGATGTAGTAGACAAAAAAAAATCACAGAGAACAATGTCGACGGGATATTTTATCAGTTTGTGTTCAAACAACCGCACTCGCTCAAAGTTTCTATCAGTTTACTACTATCTGTCTGCCTTTTTACTGAGGGCTTCATCTGGGGGCGGGGCCTGGAGGGAGGAGGCTGAGCTGCTGCGGCAGAGCTTCCCAAAGCAGGGTGCACGGTCTGCTCAGGAGCTCCTGCAGGAGGATCACAAGGTCCTTAAGTGATCGCACATATCTAAGTCCGAATGTGAGAGTGCGTAACTTTAATATCTCAAAAGGACCCTTCAGTCCCATATGAAACATAAAGACTGTAACTGTATAGGCTGTATAGGCTTGCTTCAGGTTAATCTCACCACACAGGCCAACAGAGTGATCCTTATCCACATGGAGGCCTATTATGACAGGTAATACAAATATCTGGTTAACCAAGACTTCTATTTGATGTGCACCTTTTGCTGCAGCAAGAGGACTTTGTTTTGAGTCATGAAAATAATTGTGTTGCAAGGTGTTTGGCGGTAGGGTGTTTCTGTGTAATCCTTTGGCATCTAATGTCCAGTTTATTAAAAATCTCCATGTATAGGATATTGTGCAATTACAATTTTACAAAATACCATGATTTATAACATATGATATAGTAATAGAACAATCAGACATGTTATGACTGTTAAATCAACCATCATCATCTATATGCTTTAACTAAACTGAGGTCAAACTTTGGCAATATTTATTTAACTGAGACAAACATGGCAGACACTTGGGATTGCAAGCAGATGCAGCTTGCAAGCCCAAGTGGCACTTGGTATTCCAGTGACTTGCTAAAGAACAATAATATTTTTGTGAAAAGACCACTGCTGCAGGAAATCCAGAAGTTGTCGGAATAGTTGTACAGTTCAAATAATGTCTAAATTATCCAATCTGTGTCTGATGTGTATGCTTTTTGCATGTGTACTATCCAAAAAGCATACAAACAGAAAAGTCACAGTATCGCTGCAATGCGATGTGAGGAATTCACAAACCATCCAACCTGATTGTACTTTAAGCCAAATCAAAGGAGCTAGTATATAAAAAATGCTGTTATGACAGCTGAATTCTATTCTAGCTGCTTTATGTTCAGGACCATTACGCATTTGAATACATTAGCGCCATCATTAATGTTGAAGAACGTCTATGCTTTTCCTACTATTTCCTACTATGTCTGCTGTGAAAAAGACCATATGCACTCAGTTTGGGTTTATTATTTATTTAAACACTCTGAAAGTGTAATGGATAGGAAATTACCGTCAGCAGATTGAGAGCAGCAGTGACGGGTTGCACTGCACAGTGTCTGAAATGCCCACTGGGTTAAAGATGCAGTCACTAAACATCTCATGAAGTCTCTCACCCCAAAAAAACATAAAGTTGTCTACCTTTTTGAATTAGTTCATTGTCACATGATGATGACTACTTAGCAAAAATTACTACTACAGGAAAGACATTAGATGTTCACTGATGGAGTAATTTGTCTGTTTTCTTTGCCTAAAGATAGTGACAAATGAAAGAAAATCCAGTTTTGGGAAGTGTTTTGGGAAAGTATCAGGCTATCAAATTTTCCCAGAACAGCTTTTAGGCCAGCTGACGCAGGACGGATGGCAGGGTAGGTATGGCACATAACTTTCATGCTGATGAAATCATTCAGTAAGCGCTCATGGCCTAAGGGCGGAGGCAGTTATCCTCCTACATGTGTTTCATCACAGGGAGTCAAATTCTGTGTTTATTTACAAGGATCCTTCACACTAGGGGGACCAAGGAACCCATTTCACCAAAACAGGCCCCAAAAGCATAACAGAGCCATCAAATCCCATCAGTGCAGAGGTCAAGGTCAAGAGATCAAGTCCTGAGGTTTTACTTTAAATGTGCCATTTGACCGGAGTGAATGTTTTTTATGGTGAATGGGAGATCTGGTGTCACCAGATAGTGATCAAAGACCACCAGAGGCCCTCAAACAAAGACAGTTTAGAGGTTACAGTGTGACTGATGTGATGCCTTTGGGCCTACATACTTTAAATTCTTTTTGTAAAGCAAAATGACAAAAAGAAAACACAAAAAAACCCTTCTCCACTCTGTGAAATATTGTTTTCCATGTGAAGTAGAGCAAACATATATATACACATATATATACATACACATACACATACACATACACATATACACACACATATATATATTTTTTTATTTTTTTTATTTTTTTTTTATTTAACATTTTTAATTTTTGCCTGTCATTGTGATCATTTCATTAGAAATAAAGATAGTATTCTTATGTATTAGTTTCATATTTATCATCTCGGTCATTTGTATGTTTAAATGTTTTGAAGCGGTTTCTAATATTAGGAAGTTTTTTGTTTTTGTTTTTGTTTTCTTTTACAGCTCTCACAAGAATTTTTTTTGTCACCTCCTTTCTATTTCAGCACCCTGCAACCCCCATCACAAGCACTAAACTGTGTGCGGAGCGATTCCTGCGTGTGAAATCTCTCGTACGCTGCTAAACAAACACCGAATTGCTCTGCTGTGATATCAGACTCCCAGCAAAAAGGAGATGCTGTGTGACTTGGTACAACATAAATGTCAGCTTAGTGATTCACCACTAATGAGATGGCACCTGTGACAAGAGGGAAGGAAACTTTTGTTGTGGAAAACACACAAAAACACACTGATGTGCTGCTTTTGAGAGTTGACAAGGAAACGCTCAAAGGGATCAAATTATTTTACATCTCATACATATGCATGTCTCCGTTAAAGTGTTCCACTTTGTTTATTTACACTGTGTTAGGGTTGTGAATACAGCTGAGATGAAGGGGAATAGAAAGTGTAACGGTGCATCAAAGATATGAGCAATCTGAAGCTTCTTCACTTTCCATTAATGTAACTCCCGTTCTTGACTCTTTATTGACCCAGTTGATTGCTCTACCTGTCAAGACCAACCATGCTTTTCACTAATATTGCTCTACTTTGAGTGCCACCAAGTGTCACCGCATGAAATAATAAGTGATCTTGGTTGAATTGCATTACACGCAAAAGAAAAATTACAGTTTTAGACAATCTGGGCTTGAACATGTTCATTTTTGCTGTATTGTTATTTTCTATCACTGCTGTGTGTGGTTAATGTATTCTTACAAGTAAATATAAATTACATATACAGATATGTTAAGTAATGGACTACCCATAATAAACTCTTTTGTTCGGCTTCTTTACATGATGTTTCAAGGACACAGACAATGATTTTCTTTTTATACTGGAAGGATCATTTCCTTTTTATGGCAAAGGTAATCTTTCAAAAGACAACAAAAGCAGATTAATGTGTTCAAAGCCAGAATGAAGACAGTAATAAATATATGCAGAATATAAAGTGGTCAAGTTTAAAGCGCAACCTTTTCAGTGTCCTTTACAAGGTGGATAAACACAAAAAATAAGTGTCTCAAAACACTGTTAGTAGTGAAGTAGAACTACAACACATATGATATCAGTATTTCAGAGTATTGTGCTTTTCCTTTGTTAACGGAACAGCAATGAAGGTTTTATGAAGTGTACTTTCACCTGACAACACACCCCCACTTTCAAACACACTGCATCTCAGTAGTCAATATTGTCAGCAGTCATCTCAGAAATATAACAACAATTAGACGCCTCCATTGTACAGGTATAGCCACTGTTCTAAAGAGGGTCAAATATTTGCTTCTGTAAGTATTGCAAAAAGACCAAAATCAGATGTACTTTATGCAAGACAAGCCTTTTTTCTCTGATAATATTTTATCTTGAATTGGGTTGAAACAATATTTTTTTGAATGAAAAGAATAAGTTATTATCACAGCGATAGTCCCCCTTGCTTTGTCCTCGGTTCAGCAATGTTTTTGGACACTCCAAACGTTTGAGCAGGGCAGGGTTGTTATTGGACTGCTGTTGACTTGGATTGCAGTGTGTTATCAGATGGAAAGAGTGAAAAGGGATTTTCTGGCCCACATTTTCTCAGTCACACAAAGGCCACAAAAAAAAGGCAAAGCCAACGTTAAAGCCTCATTCCAGCTGGCTCTTGGTACAGCATGGTGTCTTTGACTACTGACCAGGACAGCATCTCACATGTTCTCACTTTGATTTCAAATACCTATCAGTAGCAGGAAAGATGAGAGGGCTTACTGTAGAGCACTAGTTTTATGGTAAAACTGGGGGTTTTCTCCTAAATCATTGCAGAAACACATCTGATTTCTATTTAAATGTGGCCTATTGCTTTTAATTCATTTTAAAACCAAACCAAATGCTGCTAGACCACTCCAGACATCTTAAGTTAGATGAATGGATATTCCATCTGGTAACAACATATGAAGACAATAATGCAGCAGGTGAACACACAAATCTGCACATGTATTTTTTTTTCTCCAAAGTAGTCAGCTGTGAAAGCATAGTAAAAGTCTTCTTGTAATGTTAATTTAACGTAGCTATTAAGCAACCAGACAGATTGGCAGCACCTCTCCCTTCGGGCATGGCCAGTAAACTTACATATGAGATTCTGAAGTCCCTCAATGTGCTCAAAAGTTTAGACTTTCATTTAGTCTGTTGTTTATTCAAAGATTTTAATTATATTCAAATTTTTCCAGGTTATTTTTTTAACTATTTAAATAAAGCTAAACAAAAAAGACATAAGAAATACATTCTGTCAATCTCACATATAGTTTAAAGGTCACCTGGGGAAAAAAATTGTTGACCTCTTAGAGATCATCTCATATCTGTTATTAAAAGACTTTCATTTTACCAGAGTTGCATTAGAGATTTCCTTGTAATTTGCAATTTTCTTTAGAAAAACAGAGTTTTGTGGTGATTTCTGTCACTCAATTTAAATGTGATGCACAACAGGAGATTTAGTAGATTTAGTTCAAAGTTTCAAAATGGGAATAAGTATTTCTTATTCCCATTTTGGACTGAAAAATAGGGTGAAAAATAAGAAATTGCATTTTATTTACACAACATAAAGTGTAGCATAATAAAAATATGGATTCTGTTGCCCTCTTATGGATGGTATAGAGCAAGGTAGGGATTTGCTCAGCATGTTTTTCTGCTCTTCAGTGAAGGAGTTAGACCATTAAAAATAGTAATACGTGCAGCACAAGCAGAGGTAAGAAAAGTGCCATCCTTTACTAAACCCTGCTCCAAGAACAGGCCATATCGGTTATTAAAAGGCAACCCGACAACATTTTTCAAGGGTTACCAAACACGAGACATTCTCAGCCCAACTACTGAGAATAAAATTAATGTAGCATGGTTATATTTCAACTCTATAGTTTTCAATTGATTTAGAATTAGAACACTTTTAATAAGATCATCATTTCCTGGCTGATTGTTGTCAGGCTTTTATTTACGCTGTGTATGAAGTTTGGGTTAGAATCCCACTGGAATTACAGGGAAAAGACGTTTATTGTCATCTGAATAGAGCCAAATATTATTTATTGCCTTATAGCTTTGGAGTTGCTACTGGATTTAGGATCATCTTAGGTGGGAATTTTAAAAAGTAAATAAATTAAAAGTTTTAAGCAAAGTAATAATGCCATCAAATTGTATTTAATGCATAAATACTCAATTTTATAAAATGGAAATATTCTAGTCATTTTGATATTAATGTAAGTTATATTAACCATCATGTCTGTCTTGATGTGTTGTTGTTTGAATTAGAGTTAATCCTGATTATTTAACATTTGCTTAGCTAATACAGAACAATGTGTCACCTAGGATCACTAAAGGTTTGGAATGTGGTAGATCAGCCTTTCCTGAAAATAATATGACAAGTACTTTTCAAGTAACATAAAGTAGCATTAAAGCTATTTGACTTCTGATTAGAAGCAGTTAAATGTGTAAACAGTGTCTGTTCCCTCACTTCTTTTGAGTTTATGTTTGTTCATTCAAAAACAAATACCCGTTGTTTCTCCTCACTTTTGAAACATGGGCAGGGCAGAACCTTTTCCTTTATGACCTCCTCCCTTCTCAACAAGCTTCCGGTAATTGTCAGGGGAACTCACACTGTGTCAGTATTTACGCTCAGATTCAAAACTCATTCTGCCTGCCTATACCTTTCACTTTCTGAACTTCCTTGCATTTGGTCTTTTATTGGTATACTGAAGACTGTTTAACACCCCTTTCTGCCTCAGTTCCTAAAAGGTCTACTTCTTGCATTTAAATTTAGTTTGATGCTATATAAATTACAATATACATGCAAACACGTGTTTTCACTTTAGACTGCAGTCAAAAATCTCTTTTACTTACAAAGATATACAAGTGAGCCTTTAAAAAAAACTAAAACCTCCAAAAAACAAACTGATGTTTATGTTCTGAGTTTACTTCCAGATGTTTAAATGACAGCCAATAATTTCATAATGACATTTAAACAGAAACGTGAATATTCCAGTTAAATAATTTGTGGGTATGTGGGACATAAAGGAAAGCAACATGCCGCCTCCTTTTGCACTCGAAGCTGTATAATTTCACCACACATTTTTGGCCATGGCTCCATCTTGTGGAAAAAAGGTGCAAGTGACTAATGTCGAATTAGTTTTATACTCCTTTTTACTGACAGGCTAAAAGACTTAAAAATACAATATTTTACAAATTACCTTAGAAAGAAAACAGGTAATATACATATAAAAATGCATGCACAAATACACTCACCGGCCACTTCATTAGGTACACTTTGGTAGTGCCAGGTTGTTCCCACTTTTGACTTCAGGACTACACTCATTCGTCATGGTACCGATTTAACAAGATGATAAAGGTAACTGAATCATTCCTCAGAGTTTTTGGTCCATACTAACATCATAGCATTGTGTAGTTGCGGCAGATTTGCAGCTACAGATCCATGATGCAAATCTCCTGCTCAACCACATCCCAGAGGTGCTCCATTGGATTGAGATATGGTGACTGAGGAGGCCATCTCAGAATAGTGAACTCATCATGTTCAAGAAACCAATTTGAGATTAACTGAGTTTTGTGACATGGTGCATTAGTCTGCTGGAAACAGCCATGAGAAGGCTATACTGAAGTCATAAAAGGAATAGCACGAGCATCAGCATCAGCAACATGGTGACCATGGAGTTTAAATGATGACCACGTGGTACAAAGGAGTCCAAGATGTAATATATCCCCTATATCATTATGCTACCTTCACGAGCCTAAACCATGGATACAAGGCTGGATGGATCCATGCTCTCTACCATCCGAATATTCCACTACTAATTGGAACTCATTAGACCAGGTAAATTTTTCACAATTTTCTAATCACAGTGGCAATTTTTTCTATATATCAGATTTCATTAGAAGCAAACTTAATGTACTTAACATGGAAGAACTTAAAAAGTGGTGGTAGGTTTACAATGCCAAAGGCAGTAAAAAACTACAAAATGTAATAAAACAAAGCAAAACAATGCTGATCTACAATCTTCTGTCCAGTTTTTGTGGGGCCGTAATTTCTTTTTCTTAGATGACAGGAGTGGCACCCAGTTTGAACTTTGCTAATGTAGCTCCTCTGTTTTATATAGGCATAAAGCAGTCTGGCCATTCTTCTCTGACCTCAGACATTAATAAGGTATTTTCAACCAGAAAACTGCTGCTCACTTGACATTTCTGGACCATTCTCTGTAAATCCTAGAGCGAAAATCAAAGTAGATCAAAAGATTCTGAAATACTCAAAACCAGCCTGTCTGATACCGACAATCATGCATGTTTAAAGTCACTTAAATCACCTTTCTTCCCCATTCTGATGCTCAGTTTGAACTTCAGCAGGTCATCTTCACCATGTCTACATACCTAAAAGCACTGAGTTGACCATTCAGGTTCAATAATAAGGAAAGGAATAATTAGAAAGAATATTGCCACTAAATTAATTAATGAAATAATTGAAAATTTAAAACATGCACCACTTGAATTATAAGAGCAAAGTTCTCCTTTCATTAAAAAGAGCAGCAGCAGGAAGAAGAAATTCCACCAAAGAAGCAGCAATCCACTTGTTGTGGTATAGTAGCCTACAGCCTCCACCTTTTAATAGGGGTAATTAGATTCCAGCATTTCATTTGGCACAAACTCATTTTAAACACAAGATTGGAAATATTTAAAGGGGGGGTGTTTGGTGAATTCTGGACAAATTTGTATTAAATGGCATTACACAATGAAGAAATTTGACCCAGTCCTGGCAATTTTATTGTCACTGCATAGACACACTCAAACTCATTGAAGGCTTGTTTTATTTTAATTGTTCGTACTTAATAACACCAATTTTGTTATTTTTAAATGTTAACTCAACTTCAACTTAAATTCAAGGCCTGTTTCTATTTCGCAGGAAGTAAAATTATGTCTGCTTCAGGTGATCCTTGTAAAAGTCACATTCACCTCAAGCCCTCTAATATTTTCCACTTTCCTTTCACAACTAAGAAAAGCCCTTAAAACTGTTTACTATTGATTAGAAATTATAATGTCTCGTTGCATTTCAAAAAAGTACAAAAAAAATTAAATGAAAACTTTGAGTAAAGGCGCGTAATTCAAGTTGTTTCCTTATAAATATACTTTTTTAAAAAAAACACGAAGACGATAGACAAAATCGCTTAATAAATCAAGTAGACGTAACGCAAGGGATGTTCGCTGCTGAGAATTGTTTTGTAGCTTAGTTCTGTTTAATGAAGGCAAATTTCCCGTTTCTGAGTCAGCCCGTAAACTCATCGCTCCGCCCAGATCCCGGTTTTGTGTTCCCGGTGAGCCACAGACACGTTTCCCCCCACAGTTACCACAAGTCCGCAGCCTGCTTTCGCAGGCTCACAAACCAGGCGAGTGGCATTATTATTTGCAGGAGTTGCTCAGCGGAAGCAACCGATAATGTACTGGGATGTTATCGAGTTACCATTTTGTTGGGAACGCTCAACATAAATCTGTAACTCATGGTTTAAAGAGAAAAACAGTTAGCTAAACACTTTGCAGGAGGCTGTGTGACGGTGATTTTAATGTCATTTTTTAAAAACTATTTCAAAGAAAAACACGGGTAGGTAGGTAGAATATAGGCCAATCAAGTCTGGAGTCTTGAGCAGAGGTGTATAAATTTGAAGTGGTTGCCTTAGAAACGTCCACAACCGAAGAGTTGAACGCAGGATTCCGCGAAATCTCGTAAGGTAATGTTTGTTAGTACGACAAAGACGACGACTAAGGTAGTAGTGATGATAACCAGAGCAAACTTGTATTATGGTGGTTGGTGAATTTTTATTTCCCAATATGTTGGACTTATATAAAAGTCATCAAACTGATAGGAAGACTAATGAAACGTGACCGCTTCTAAACACTTCGGTTATTAGCGCGCTTAGCCGCGTTAAATGCTTGCCTAAAGCGACTTGCGTTGAAAAGAAGAAAATAATTTACAGACTAGCTGTTAAGGTTTTTTTTTTGTGCAAGATTCAACTGCTAAAATGTGCAGAGATGAAAAATACAAAGCGTTTAACTTTCTAGCGCTGACGACCAAACTCATCCGGGAGCATTAGCACATCATCAAGGTTGTTAGTGCATAAAATACAAAATGCTACTACTTAAATTGCTCCGTTAGTACGCGGCAACTGTGGTTATTTTATTTGGTATAGTACACCGACTGTTGGTAAGGTTAGCAGGCAGGCGGACTAACCGGTGGGCGTGACTGAAGCTGGTTTTTTAAATGTGCCTGCCATTTATTGGTTTGACAGAGAGGGCGAGAGACGCACTCCTGTGCATCTCTCCAAGATCTTGGCTGCTCGTTGCTTAAAAGCAGGTGACGTGAAGCACTTTAATCTATGAAAAAAAAGTAACACAGGTTGACCAGGAATCAAACTAGGTAATTCCCAGTGATCTGTTGGCTGATAACTTGGCATCTGGTGTGTCAGAGAAAATAAAACCAGTAAAGAACAAAAGGCGTGAATGCCTTAAAAAATTTTAATCTACTGCAGATAAACGGTATCTGAAAATCATGCAATTAAATTATTTCTCAGAGATGCATCTGGATCTTCTGTTGATCCATCTACTGCCTCATCAGAAATGCTGATGGAATGTTGGGTGTTTGGTTCAAATCATCATTATTATCTACAAAGGAGGTCAGCAGAGAAATACTTAGCTTGCAAACATGAGCAAAATCCAGAATCCTGTCACCTATACATGTATAATTTGCAATCCAACATATTTCCTTCAGCACACAGTTTACAACTGTGAATCTGTACATCATCATCATTACACAGATCTTTAGTCACCACATTTACAAATTACTTTCCCAAGCACATTGAGGGGACAAATTCAGTTATGGTACATATGTTTGTAGAAGCCATTATCCTCTTTTTAATGTTGAATTCAGTGTCACACTGAATAACTTGAACAGGCCCTGAATAACTGCTGGCAGCCAGCACTAAAAGGAAACCGCAACTAAGTGATTAATAAGACCATTTCCAGTAATCCAGTGTATGTTTAACTATTTAGAATGCTCATTAATGTATGATTGAAAAGGATGGGTAACAATACCCCAACGTATCAGACCCACATAGTGTACTTAAAGGATGCAAACATACTGTTGCTTCATCTGAAGTAAAATGTGCACTGGAGCAGTTTTGGAGAGATGCTGTAGATGGCAGTATTACATGTGTCTAGCACAAATGAGCCTCTCCTAAGCTTCCATTCTTAAAGAAATATTTAAAAAAAAACAACAACAAATATTTCTTTTCTGTTTTGATTCTGCTATAAATCTAAGAAGTGTTTGTACATACTCATTTTCTGCTGAAGAGACTATAGTTGTTAGACTCATTTATTGATATTAAGGTTTTTTTAAGAGAAAAAAGATTCATCCTTTGCAGCTTTATCTTTTTTTTCATACAGTGGGTAAATTAAGTATCAAACACTTCATCAAATTTCTAAATAAAGATATATCTAAAGGTGCTATTGACATGAAATTCTCACCAGAAATTTGCAACACATCCAGTCCATACATGCAAAGAAATCCAACCATGAATGTCCATAAATTATGTGTAAAAATGAGAAATGACGCAGGGAAAAGTATTGAACGCACTTAATGAAATTTTTTTGAAAACTTAATTTGTTTGATACTTTTTACAAAAAAAGGGAGGGGCTGTTCTTCCACACAGTCGTTAAATCCTGCAGGTTTCCCTGGGCCCCTGCTTTGAACTCTGACCTTTAGTTCTTTCCATAGATTTGGATTCAGGTCGAGTGATTGGCTTGGCCGTCCAAGCAGCTTAATTTTCTTTCCTTAAACCAATTGAGTTTCCTTGGCTCTGCATTTGGTATCACTGTCTTGCTGAAATGTCCACCCTTGTTTCAGTTTCATCATCCTGGTAGATGGAAACAGATTTTAATTAAAAATGTCTTGGTAATTTTTTCCATCCAACAGACCCACACCATGATATCCCCACCTCCAGATTTCACTATTGGTGTTTTGGGCTAATAGAAAGTGCCCTTTGACCTCCAAACATGGCGTGTATTGTGGCATCCAAAGAGTTCAATTTTGGTCTCATCTGACCACACTATATTTCCCCAGTATTTCACAAGCTTGTATAAATATTGTTCAGCAAAATTTAAAAGTGCTTCAACATACAATAGAGTCTTCCATGGTAAATGCACATACAGGCCATGGCAGTTCGTTTCATTACTTACTGTTTTCTTCAGAACCATTGTACCTGCTGATTCCAGGTCTTTTCACAAGTGGTCCTTGGCTCTTGGACAGCTGGTAGTTCTTTTCACTGCTCTGTCTAAAATCTTGCCAAGAACACCTGGTTGTGGCTGGTTCATGTTTAAATGGTGTTCTTTCCACTTCCAGATTATGGCCACAACGTTGCTTACTAGAACCTTCATTCATTTAGAAATTGTTTTGTAAACAATGCCATCAGTATGTTTTGCAAAAACAAGGTTGCAAAGGTCTTAAGTGCAATCAATAGTTTTACATATCAAGGGATGTTTCTTGTGTAATGACTACTACTACTACTTCTTTTTTTTTTTTTATATATTATTTGGCTGTGTGATACTTTGGTAATGAAACCTCTTTTTATAGGCCTTCAGTTGGGACTGCAAATTAATATTAGCTGATAAAGAGGCAGGCTTGCTTTCTAATTACTGATAGATTTCAGCTTGGGTCATGACGTCCATACCCGTTTGCACCTCTCTTTCTTCATGTGTTCAATACTTTTCCCTGTGTCATTTCTCATTCTTACACATAATTTATGGATATTTATGGTTTGACTTCTTTGCACGTGTGAAATGGATGGATTGTTACTGACATCTTGGGGGAATTTCATGAAAATGGCATCTTTCGAAATATATTTACTTAGAAAACTGGTGACATGTTCAATACTTAATTTTACCTTTATGTATTTGGCATGTCTTCAATTTTATATCAAGAATATGAATGCTATAGCAGTCACGGGGAGTATTAATGCTCAATATAAATTTTTAAGAATTTAGGGGGTCGAGAGACTAGTTTGCGACATTCTTGTAGTAAAGTAGTTTTGTTATATTATTGTTGGTTTAATCAGCAGATGCTTTCCTTTTTTCACTTGACATGTAGGAAAACGTGGTACGAGCATCGAGTTTCTGCAAAGCAATTTCCAGGTGGCTTTACCCCTGCATGCAATTTGGATATCGCAATGTCTGAAGGGAACGTCGGCCCCCCTGTGAGTGGAAATCCCCCTCCACCAGAGGTCATAAATTCCAAGAGGCCTGGACGTGTAACCAATCAGCTACAGTATCTGGAGAAGGTGGCGCTCCAAGCTTTATGGAGGCATCAATACTCATGGCCTTTTTATCAGCCAGTGGATGCAGTGGCACTGTGTCTCCCAGTAAGTAGTAAAATTGTAGTTGTAGCACTGCAGTAAGAATGCAGTCATGTGTATTTAATGTTTGAACCTAAAACTGTCTTCATGAGCCACACTTCAGAAAGGCATGTTTTCATGTTCATGTCTTTGTCTTCAGGATTATTATACAATTATTACAAATCCAATGGATCTTGGCACCATTAAGAAGCGGCTAAAGAATAGTTACTACTGGCAAGCAGTTGACTGCATAGAAGACTTCAATATTATGTTCACCAACTGCTATGCGTACAACCAGGTAAGATGATAATAGTTATGTTGCTGTATGATACCAAAATATAACCACAAAGCACATTTCATATTCCTTCACAGAAGCAAGATGTACAAAAATCAGAAGTAGTCCTACAATGAAAAAAAGCTGGACAAAAAAATAACAAAGTCACACTTTTGTTTTGTGTAACTTTTGGTGCTTAACAGTATTGGAATGCATCTCAGCAGTTTAAACTGTCACAAAAGCACATTTGCCTTTTTTTCCTATTTAATGCATCATTTGTCTTTCCACAGCCTGGGGATGATATTGTCTTTATGGCAAAAACCCTCGAAAAGCTTTTTCTGCAGAAACTTTCTAAAATGCCGCAGAAAGAGTTTGTGGTAGAAGTCACTACAAAGGACCTACAAAAAGGGAAACACTCTAATGCAGGTATGTTGCATGCTCCTAACTAGTAATGCAGGGTCATTTTGTCCTGTCTTATAATTTTTGTAAAATTTTAAATGAGAAAGAGAAACTTCAAAAATGATATTACGATGTTACCACAGGAAGATATTAAATTGCACTGATTTTGTTCACCATATAAAATTTTGTTCATGTTTAACTTTATCACCTGTGATGCAGATGCATTAAAGCACCGATCCCTCATGTCAGAGGTTGTTCTTCAGCAGACTGTGACAGTCATTCCTCCAGATGTCCCTCAGTCGAGCCTACCCATCCAGCTCTCTGCACAAACTGACTCAACACTAAGCACTGAAATGGTTTGCGAGCAACTTTCAGAATATACATAAAATCATGCAGTGTTCTATTTAAGTAAAATGTGAGATAAACGTTTTACATAAACTTAGCTGTACTAGTAACGGTTCCTTATGCGATTGTCTAACCAAAGACCTCAAACAGTGCATGCATTTAGTATAGTAAGTGCATCATCGCATATAGATGATCATCATTAACGAATGATGTCAGAAGCTATTAATCATATTTATTACTGATTGTTTTTGTGCCTTAAAACAAACTTTTAAATGTCACTTTTGTTATTTGTGTCCCGCTGCTTTTTTCCTTTTTTTAATATCTAGAGCAAAAAAGGTCTCAAGCGGAAAGCAGACCCCACCACCACCTCAGTGATCACCAGCAGTGAAGTCTCCCCTGCTGAACATTCAGCACCTTGTATGCTGATCTCCCACAGAGGCAGTGGAAGGCCCATCAAGCGTCCTAAGAAAGAATTGCCTCTCATTGAGGCCAAGAAGGTCAGACTGTCTGAGCAGCTCAGATGCTGCAATGACATCCTGAAGGAGCTGCTCTCAAAGAGGCACTCTGCATATGCATGGCCCTTTTATGTGCCAGTCGATGCGGTTGCTTTGGGTTTGCATGACTACCATGATATCATCAAGCATCCCATGGACCTGAGTACTATCAAGGTAAAATGTCTGAGCTGATTAACTGAAGCATGTAATGTGATTTTCAGTATATGGTAGATCAGTTTTCTCAACAAAAATGTTACTTCCTCAGAAAAAGATGGATCAAGGAGAGTACGGAAATGCAAAAGTGTTTGCTGCCGATGTTCGCTTGATGTTCTCCAACTGTTACAAATACAATCCACCTTCAAATGAGGTGGTACACATGGCAAGAAAACTTCAGGTACAGTTTATCAATTTATTGATTTCTTAAATCAGTAGGACAATATTTAAATGTAAGTTATGTTTTATGTTTACCTTCACATGCATTTTGCATGTCCTTAAAGCCGCATTCACATCGAATGAAATTCACTTGTCCGACATTGGTTGGTTGCTTATTGTTGGTCACTAGTTGATATGTCTTTTAATTACATGCCTTAAAGTTGTACCCGCACACCTCAGCTTGCAAAATGGCATCGGCTTCCTGTTATCCCTGGTTGCCAAATTGCTGCTGGTTGCTTCCTCCGGGGATGGGGCTCTGGGCCTAAAAAGCAAATGTGTTGTAGGTGCTAAACTTGAAATCTCCTCCTCCTCCTGAGCAGATTCCCACTTAAGTGATTTATCTGCTGTTTGCTGACTTCTGAGAACATTGCAGTTAACAAGTGTTATATGATTTGAAACCGTTTACAGTGTTGTATCATCATGAGCCACATGTACAAGACACTAAACAGAAGCACAACAACAGCATGCTTATTATATGTTAGAGTGCGTCTTAGCAGTAACTTGTTCCACACATACACCTTTTGAACCAGTTTAAATTGAACTCTTAAAAACACCCCCAGATAAATAGTTTTTCACTTAGTTGCAGCTGCAAAATGTTAAAAAAAAAAAAACTAGTGTGGACTTTTAGGAGGAAAGTGTCTTTGCTTGTCTAACTATCCTGTGATTATGAGCACTTTTTGTACAATAGGGGTGGTTTACAATTTCTTTGTGCATGATGGAGCATTTTTGCCACTAATCATCCCCCCAAAAAACAAAACAAAAGGCCTTCAAATACAACTTGCTTTGACATGCCCCTGTAACAGTTGTATAGACTAACCTATGTCAGTTGACGAATTACAGTTGGTGTAATTGCTAACAATACTGCAAAAATATTTTGTTTTAACAGGAAGTTTTTGAGGCCCGGTATCTGAAGCTTCCCCATGAAGCAGAGTCCTGTCAGACATCACATCAGCAAGAAAAGGGAAAAGGAAACCGAAATGGAAGTCTGTCAACTTCAGAAAGTTCTGACAGCAAAAGCTCATCATCTGAGGAAGAATTTTCATCAGAAGGGAGAGCCATTCTGCTTGCCAATCTGGAGGATCAGGTCAGTATTGCGCACACAGTAACAAGCAAGCTTTGAGAAATAAATTACTTCAGTGCTCTATAGTTAACTTAAATGGCTCGCTTTTCAGTTGAAGGCTGTCAGTGAGCAGCTGAAGAAGTTTGTCCAGGATCCCATGATGAAATCAAGGAAGAGAGAAAAGCTGAAGAAGGAAAAGAGATCAAGGGAAAAGGATATAGCTCAACTAAAGAACAAATCCTTTAAATACAAATCTGTTGTTCAAAGTATCGCACCCAGCAGGAGCTCTTCCTTGTAAGTGAACCCCACTTAATCAATCAATATTTTTGTATTTTTTACCTAACATAAACGGTTGGGCTGTGTATGCTACTATATAAACGAAATATAAATATTTCATATGTATGTATAGGAAAGAAACCAGACCTCCTAATCTCCGTGAATCCATGAAAGATGAGGGTTCAGCCCCATTGGCACCAATTACTTACCAGGAGAAGAAACAGTTAAAACTGGACATCAACAAGCTGCCTGGTGACAAACTGGGCAAGTTGGTGAAAATCATCCACACCAGGGAGTCTTGTCTGCGAGATTCCACTCTGGAGGAGATTGAAGTTGACTTTGACATGCTCAAGTCTTCCACACTGCGAGCTCTGCAGAGGTTCGTCGCAGAGTGTCTGACTAAATCCATCAATGTAACAAGTAAGTACAGCGTGACTTAATCAGAAAATACAAGTTAGTCTGCTAAACTTGAAGTGTCTTTACAGTGACAGTGCTTGCTTATCAGGTCAAGCAGTCAAAATCTGTCCAGTAATGATAAAAGAAATATTAGGTTTAGTATATGCTTGTCTTTATACATACAGTACAAGTCAAAGGTTTGGACACAACGCAACAACTCATTTAATGGCTTTTGTTTATTTTTACTACTTTCTGCCTTTTAAATACACGCTGAAGACATCAAAAATATGAGGCAAAATGTATGGAATCATGTAGCATAAATAAACTCCGGCTTTTAAGGTGTCGTGGATAAATACAACAAAATAAAACTAGCACCGGTACAGAAGAAAATAAGATTTATTCATAACACAAGTGAAAAGACCCAGGAAGACCGAGTTAACGATAAAAACGATAACAAAATAATGCTAAAAAACAATAAAAACCCTGAAAAACATACATTTCACACCCGAGCCTCACGACCCGGTACCAAACGACTCCGGTCCGTGGCCCAGGGGTTGGAGACTGCTGCACTATATGAATATTTATATTATAAGATATTCTCAGTAGTTACAAACCAAAATTCTGCTCCACAAATGTATCTAGCATGAATTTTTCAAAAATGGCTGAAGAGTAGATTTAAAAAAAAGTCTGTCCAGTCTGGAAAATAATGGGAATTATACTGATATTTTTCTACTTATCAACACAAACTGATAAAATTATAGTATTTACAGCAAAATAATTAAACAATAAAAACAATGTTATGTTAAATAGAAACATAATTTTTCAATTCTGTTGTTGATGACCTGTATGTCGTGCTTCTCAGAAAAAAGACCCAAGCCCACAGGAGCAATCCAGACTGCAAAACTAAAGTATGGCGGAACGTCTCAGACTGTCGGCAAAGACCAGCACTTAACTGGTAAAAAGAGGTCATCAGGTAAGAAACAGATTTGTTGCAATGGTACTTCCACGTGTGAGACAGTGTAAAAATGTCAGTCTTGTGTTAACAGCTCAAGTCGTGGCCTCTCCTGGTCTCAGCTGCTCCTCAAGTGGGAGCAGCAGCAGCAGCAGCTCATCCGACAGCAGCAGCTCATCCGACAGCAGCAGCTCATCCGACAGCAGCAGCTCATCCGACAGCAGCAGCTCGAGTAGTCTTTCTACCGCCTGTGATGCCAGGGACACTGAATCAGGTCTGGTGCTGTCTTCAGCTTCTCCATCTCTTTTTCCCCTTCTTTCTTACATGGGTGCCTTTTTTCATTAATTTGTTTTATTTATTTATTCAATTATAAAGGTCTCTTTTCTTTTTTCTTTTTTCTTTACATTTCATACACACCTTTTTGTAATCTGCTGACATGGATGAGTCCTGCATGTTTGTACCAATGACAGCTGCAGTAAAGTCTCGGTCTTTTGGGGGGTATTTTTTTTTATTGTTTTAGTAGGCACTGAAGTGTGTTGCATAATAGTGGTGCCATTAAACAGAAAAAGCATAACTCATAAAGTAAATTTATGCGAGGCTGAAAAACGGCATCTCTGATGGGTGATTGGTGCAGTCAGGCATGTGTGCTCTCTCTGATGACAGGGTCTTATTGCTTTTTTTTCTCTTTTTTTTTTAAGGAAAAAATAAATGAGAGCTTATGTAACAAACTATTCTTATTTTATGCTGCCAAGATATCTCAAATAGCTTGTTTTTCATGATGTTTGAACAGGAAACTTTAAGAGGCTGTAGCCTAAATTAAAGAAGTAAAAAATCTTATCATATGATGAATCCTGCTTCTGGGCCCAAACTACCCTGCGTTTAATAAGGCTGTTTAACCCGTTTTAATGCTTTGTATCTTGTTCTTTTAATCTCAAAAACCCCCTAAAAACAGTCAGTGATCACTGTCAGCCTCTCTCGCTTTTTATTACCGCTATTCATTTCAAAGCTCAGTTTTTAAAACCTTACGATGTAACTACAGCCCAGCCCATGCAGCAGTATATGAATGACTAACCTCGTATTGCAGATGGATTATCTCATTTGTTCTCCTGACTGAAGTTTGGTCCATTTACAGCATCCTGCCATGCGACTGCATTTGTCCCTAACCATCGGGAACCCTCACGTTAACTTTTATCGAGTGGGAAAAAGTTAGCATTCATCCTCCAGCTTCACTGTGTTTATGTTATGCTAACGTAGCTGTGTCGCTAGCGATCACGTAGCACATCATTAAATACCAGCTAGCGAAACTTCATTAACCCTATTTGGGCAACCACCTGCTTAAAAGTCCAGGTGAAAAAATGAATAATTAATTAACACTTGGAACTATTTAGCTTTTCTTGAAGGTTGTATGAAAAGCAAATTGTTATAAATTTCACGGTGTCTTATTTTTCCAATTTATGGCACAAAATGAGTTATTATTGTCAATGTTTTTCAGTGCTGAAAAAGAGGAAGCGGAAATCTAAAGACCATTGCCAAAAGGTTAACAAAAAGGTAAAAAGATTCTCTTTTTTCTTTATTCAATAGATCAATGTAAGCTGGCGGGTTACATTGATAAGTAAGACTGTAATTTCTTGTGTCAAAGGTGAGACATGCTGCTGGTAAACAGATGTTGGGAGGAGCAGATTTGACGAAAGCATCCGTCAAGACCAGTCAGCTTCTTGCTAATGGGCAGTCTGTAAAGAAAGCAAACAGGGAAGGACATCCAGCACAGCACGATGCAGCGCTAACCTTTGATGACTTCACTTTATCGCCTCCAGGTAATGTTTTTGTCTTTACAAATGCAACATTTGTCCAAAAGTAAAAAAAGATTTACCAGCCTCTTGAAAAGATCTTTCCACAAGATTCTTTATTTCTCAGGACTAACAGTTTTCCCACCATGAAAAGTACAGTAACAGTTATCTGATTTTACCACCACCCATTTACCTGGTAGGCCAGACAAAGAACTAGCGCCTCCTTACCCTCCCCCCGCTCCTGGTTTGGAATATAATACTCATGCTTGCCTTTAGTTGGTTTTACTCAATAGTAGCACATGTGTTTAAATAAATGTGCAGAAATCTGCTTCTTGTGTCATTGTAATGAGTTGAGAATGAATTCCTGTAATTTACTGTTTGTCCAGATTTGTCTGCACTTTTATCCCCCATGGGATCTCCCGTAGAGCTACTGGACTGGGCTGCTGCAAGATTTGAGGTACGTCAAAAAAGGCACATTTCTGCACACAAAGGCAACTTTTACAAAATCTGCTTTGTAACAGCTTTTGGGGTAGATATTAGATACATGTTTTATCATATGTTAGGAAATATGTGTAGGCATGTGCTGCAACTACTATGAACAGGCCAACGTCAGTACCAGCAGCTGATTTTAAAAAAATAACGTGCCTGAAATGATAATGAAGAGACCTTTATTAAGAACGTGTAGTCTAGCAGAATCTGCCATCTTTCCCAGCAGCAGTTTACTATTGCATTATGTAGGGATATGTTTTGTTTATTTGGGGGTTTTTTTCTCAGCAATTTGGAGCCTTCATAATTTGAGTGCATGAGTTAGCCACGTGGAAAAAACTGCACCCACCCATTCCATGTGTCATAGTTGAAAGCTATGGTTTTTAAACAAAATTTTGCTTTTCCTGCAGGGTCCAGTGCTGTCCCCTCTTGGAGACAGCCCCCTGCAATCCAAAGACGAAATAACACCCAGTAAGTCGCTTTAAATCACTTATTATTACATCACCATCTTTAAAAACTACCGTTTTCTTCATAATGTTAGGAAATGTTAACTTTATTATTGCAGATTTCAGATACACTGCAGATCTTCCTGACAAGCAGTTGATTAATGTGCCTAACACTGATGCTGCGAGTAAATCTGCTGAGGGTGAAAAACCCCAAATTCCCAAAAAGGTTGGTTTAATACTCCAGAAAACTGTCATGATCATTTATCTTACTTTTATGTGCTGATATAGCTGGAAATTATATCAATGTTCAAGGATGTGCTGCTTTTTATGTGCATTATTCATTAGAAAGTGGTGCAAATACTTTCAAATGTGGTGTTTCCACCACCAGAAGGCATTAAATTATTACAACTTAATAGTGGCCAAAACCTAGCTGGTTGATGCCAACAAATGCACACCAATGTTTGAAGTGAATGTATCTAAACATTGTGATTTTCCTTGCTTAGGATATTGTGGTGAAAAACACCGAGCCTTGGGTGAGATTGGGAAGACCGAGAGAGAGGGTGATGCTACCTCCAAACAATTCCTCAAAAGGGACCTTCCAGATGTTTCGTGAAAAACTACTGAAAAAGAAATTGTTGGATGAAAGCAAAAAGATCGAGGCTCCTGAAAAGACCAGGTGTTCACACAGTTAATAGTTAAAGCATTCGATGTGAATTTAAATTAATAGGTAGATTTAATTAAGTTGTCAGGCATACAGTTGTTGCCTTTTGGCCAAAGTTTTAAAGATGCCAAAACTACTGAGTGCCTGTATTAGTTGCTATAAGCCAAGATATATATTTTTTTCTCTGAAAACATAATAATTGATTTAAAGAGAGCAAAGTCAGTAACTTGGGTATTCTCCTTCTAGTCTACAAGTCCCATGTAAATCAGAACAAAACCCACAGCCTGTTAAGGAAGTTTCGGGTTTGCCTGGAAGTATTTGCACAGAAGGTCCCTTGGATGCTCCCAAACATGTTGAACAGCAAAGGTCTAAAAAAAGGCAACCTCTAATCACACAGTCGTCTTTAGATAAAGAAAGAGAGCGGGCCCGCCAAAGAGCGCAGGAACGTCGCAAGCGAGAAGCAGTGAGTACCTTCTGTATCTGTTTCAGTGATCCATTTGTATCATTTCATTTGATTTTGGTAAAAAATATCACGTTAAACTGTATTGCTGTTTGTTTTTCTCTTTTATATAGATGACTGGTATCGACCTAACATTGCAACGGGATGTCATGACTAGATTTGAGCTTGACCTTTAAACTGGGCGGAGATTTATCTGAAACGTGTTTGATGTCTTGATAGTTTTTTTTCCCTTTGATGCCCTGTACATGTCATTAAACCTAATAAAATAAATGCTTCATTTGTGGGGGTGGTAGTAATTTGAGCCCTTTTCAAACATCATTTCATCATACTGTTAAGAGTTAATTTTGTTAATGTTCACGCAGAGAGTTTGATCGGACATGTCAGCGATGGAGGAAACCACAGTATACACACAATGTTTCCACTTTTGCAACAAGCATATTTTAATATGCTCGTCTTTATTTAGTGGAGTAGTTGGAAAAATATTTTTTAGTTTTCTCTGCACGGTATGTCCTTCTGTTTGTTTTATAGTGCTGCTGAGAGGATTAAAAGAGAAACATTTTAATCTTAATGCACTTTTGAAACTAAACTGTTGAGATACAAATGCTATTATGTACATGTTATTGCATCCCAAAGATGTGGGAAAGACCTGGCGAGATTGATGTTGTAAGCATTACGGAAACCTGACCAGGTGCTCTTTGGCACAACTTGACAAAATGTTGAGGCGCCATCAGGTGAATGTAAAGTCGTGCACATCTTAAAGGGGCTTTAAGTGCAAATGGATTTAGTCCTTACTTAGCATTTGATAAATGCCTGCACTAGTGCCCTCTGGATTTTCGCCTGACTAGGGTTAAAGTGCCTTCATAAAAGAGTTATGTTTTTCTCTACTGTTCAGAGGTAAGATATGCACAGTAAGCTAGTTCATATCCCATGTACTGCAGTTTCAATGCCACCTTGTTGCATTGTCTACTTAAACATGCAGCGGTTGTTCTGGTATTATATGTTAATGTCCTGTAAGTGTTTACCATGGTTTTGTTAATACTGACTTAAATATACTTGAAATGTAAACAGAACACTGTAGCATGTTTACACACTGACTTTTTTCTTCTTTCTTAAATATTCTTGGATTTTTTTATTTTTTTATTATTTTTTTTTAAACTGAGCCAGGAAAAAATATTATAGTACCAAAGTTTTCTTTGTGCAATTGACTTCTCAGTTCCTTGAGTACTTGAAATGCCAAATATTGTGTTAGCTGTACATGCAAGGCACTTTGTTATTCATGCAGTTTTTTCTTACTCAATAAACCTTTTTCACTAAACAGTCTGGATCACTTTATCAAAATATCAGGTTACTGCACAGATGCAGTTTACTCATAATGCAGATGATCCCCCATAAATCCATACAAGAGCTAATCATATGGTTACCAGCATGCACCACAACCACTGGTAAGTTTTCTTTCATTTAGTTCTGGTTGCTGTGCTGCATGTCATGTCAGAGTGCAAAATAAAACCCAACTGCTGGCAGGGCAAATTAGCTAAAGGTATATTATTTAAACAATTTAATCTCCACACACAATCTTCTACACTAATTATTTATTAACTTGATGAAATATGAAGGAGCTTGACGTGTGTGTGTGTGTCAAGTTCACATTATTTATGCTGTCATGGATAAAGCTACACACGAAATTATTAAACTTGAACTTTTATATTGTGCTTGATATTTAGCCAAGCACAGAATATATACTTGTTAATGTTTTCATGAATACAGAAACATATCTAAGAACTGTTTCCATTCTTTGTTAAAATCAACCACATGTTCTTTGGAGTTACTATTCATAACTGCATTGGTAATAGTGCAGTCATGAATATTGATAATCCATTAATTAGTGATGAGTTTTTGATAAATCAATTGGATTTAATTATAGATGAGGTTATTCTCTTAAATGCATTAAAATTAGAATCTAAATGTCTGAATGTTTTAGTAAATTTCTACAATATAAATGTGATGTAGCTGTAAATATGTTGTAGTATTCCCATAAGTTATCCTAATAACAAACCGTGGGTAACACAGGAAGTCAAAGCTGTCCTCAACATGAAGAAGAAGGCTTTCAGGAGCAAAGTGAAGGAGGAGATGAAGGCAGCACAGCGGGAGGTGAAACGCTGCCTGAGGGAAGCAAAGGACACCTACAGGAGGAAGGTGGAGCAGAAGTTGGAGAGGAACAATATGAGGGAGGTCTGGAATGGTGTGAAAACCATCACAGGCCACAACACCAAGAAAAGCACAGTGGGGGGACTGTGGAGAAGGCAAACGAACTTAACAACTTCTTCAACAGGTTTGACCAGCCCACAACCCCCCCACCCTCACCTTCACTACAGAGTCCAATCCCCACTCTCCTACCTCCCTCGCTTCCCCCCTTCCTGACACCATGACATCCCCCTCCTCCAATCCCTCTCTCAGCAGCAAGACATCTCCCCCCCTCCCCTCTGCCCAAACATCTCCCAGTGTCACAGTGGATCAGGTCAGGAGACAACTGAGGAAGCTTCGCCCCAGAAAGGCAGCAGGCCCAGACAAGGTGTGTCCTAGGATGCTAAAGGCGTGTGCTGCTGAACTTGGGGAGCCGCTACAACGAGTCTTCAACCTCAGTCTGCGACTGGGGAGAGTGCCCGCCCTATGGAAGACATCCTGCATCGTCCCGGTCCCCAAAAAGAACCGGCCCAATGAGCTGAATGACTTCCGACCGGTGGCACTGACGTCACATCTTATGAAGACTCTAGAGCGGCTCTTCCTCAACCTCCTCCGACCACAGGTACAACATGCCCAGGACCCACTACAGTTTGCATACAAGGCGGGTGTCGGAGTGGAGGATGCCATCCTGTACCTCCTACACAGAGCCCACTCACACCTGGATGGGGGAAAAGGCACGGTCAGGATACTGTTTCTTGACTTTTCCAGTGCCTTTAATACCATCCGGCCCTGTATGCTTCAGGAAAAACTGAACAGGATGGAGGTGGACCCCTGCCTGGTGGCTTGGATCTCCGACTACCTCACCAACAGACCACAGTACGTCAGGCTGAAGGACATCACGTCTGACACAGTGGTCAGCAGCACAGGAGCACCACAGGGAACTGTGCTGTCCCCTCTTCTCTTCACCCTGTACACCTCTGACTTCGGCTACAACTCTGAATTATGCCACATTCAGAAGTTTGCAGACGACACAGCCATCATGGGGTGTATCTGGGATGATCAGGAAGAGGAGTACAGAAGTCTGGTGAGGAACTTTGTCACATGGAGTCACACAAACCACCTGCAACTCAACACCTCAAAGACTAAGGAACTGGTTGTGGACTTCGGGAGGTCTAGAGCAGGTCCACTGCCGGTTCAGATAGAGGGGGAGGAGGTGGAGGTGGTCAACAAGTACAAGTACCTCGGGCTGTGGGTGGACAATAAACTGGACTGGTCATGCAACACAGAGCACCTGTATAAAAAAGCCCAAAGCCGACTGTACTTCCTCAGGAGGCTGAGGTCTTTTAACATCTGCAGGAAGCTCCTGAGGATGTTTTACCAGTCAGTGGTTGCTGGAGTACTTTTCTATGCTGTGGTGTGCTGGGGGAGCAGCACAGCAAAGAGGGACTTATCCAGGCTGGAGAAACTGATCAGGAGGGCTGGCTCTGTGGTCGGCATGAAGCTGGACACTCTGGTGACAGTGGCAGAGAAAAGGACATTAAAGAAACTGATGGACATTATGAACAATGCTGGGCATCCTCTGCACACGGCCATTAACAACCAGAAGAGTCTGTTCAGTGACAGGTTGCTTCTCCAAAGACAAGAACTAACAGACTTAAAAACTCCTTTGTCCCACACGCCATCAGACTGTTTAACTCCTCTCTGGAGGGGAGAGGGAGGGGAAACAGGAGGACAAAGGAGGGGGGAACAACTAAGCTGTAGTGCCTCTTCACCTCACTGTGCAATACCTTTTGTGCAATACTTTTGTAAATAGTCAACAGTGCAATAGACTCAATACTTGAAATGTGCAATTCACTTGTATTTTTATTTTTATTCCTATTTATTATATTTATCCCCTTCGTATATTTTATTTATATTGTCTCTGTATTTATATATATGTGTGTGTGTATAACTCTGTAACTTCTGTCGGTGCTGTGCTTTTTTGGAAATCGAATTTCCCAGAGGAACCCACCCGAGGGATTAATAAAGTTCTATCTAATCTAATCTAATCTAAGTAAAATAGAGGGGTAAATGTAAAAAATAAATAAATGACTAAAAAGGGGTAGAAATCAGTATTTGTGCTTCAGGCATATATGAACATATCTATTCAGTATAGGTTTACTATTGCATTATGTATTTTTTTTCTGTGCAGAGCTTGATTAAAGTCTTGGATTTAAAAAAGAAACATCATGTAGGGTAGATTTAAAACAGGAACAAAACTGTTTATGAAATGCTGGTGCCATCCTTGCTTTTTAAAGAATGTGTTCTGTTAAAATGTGTTTTTCTCACAGCGTCTCTGGGTCGGATTTACAATGAAGCATCCAAACTAACAAAATGTTTAAGAGTTAGTAGACCAATCAAAATGTGGGAGACTAGATATATAGTAACAAACCTCCTGTTGGCTAAATAACTAAAGCTGAGTTTAAAGGCAGAGGGAAACACTGATGATCACACAAGCTTTGTTCGGGGTGAGATGGCAATTAACATTTGTTAAGTTTAAATTTGTTGAGTTAAACATATAAATAAAACTTAACTGTAGTTTGTTCCCCTTAAGTGCAAATAGTGTTAGGATAATTCTTTTTACAATTTATGTTTTTAAAATATAAATCCTGTTTAATTTTACTAGTGCGATTTACAGATTCGCCTAGGATCCGGTTTGATCCAAGAGGAGAATCAAAGCCCTTGGAGGGTTTCCTCAGAAGGGGCATAAGGTGTAACAAATCTACCAAATCAAATATGTGGAGCTGTCCGCTGTAGCGAGCCCTTGTGAATAGCTGGGGAAAGGATTTCTTCATTTTGCCATGGTTGGGCCTCCATATATTCGCGTGAGCGTACAGAGGTCTTTATCGATTCCACATATCCAGCCACGTGAGGGGTTAAGCTAATCCAAAGTCGGTTAACTGGCCTCTGATGTGTGTTATCCGGTCCCCGCTTCGGTTTTCTAACGGAATAATTGACCTGCTCGTGTCCGTGTGTGATTTAGTAGACTTGACAGCCACACACCTGTGACACCGCATCTCATTAACATATCAATGCGCAGTCACAGCCTACCTGCTAATTAAACCGGGAAACCGCC